TAAAAAACCATGAACCAGACCACGTTACAACCTTCAAAAGTCCTAATTGAAGCAAGGTTATTTTGAAAGCATACTTCAATGAGATAGTGTTCCTGACTCCCATGAATGTTCTAAATAGTTATGTTGGTATCATATGTTCTTCCTATACAAAAATAAATGGTGTTTTAACTCGCAAAATTTGTGCGATATCTTTCAAAATCTTCAAGACTTACATAACTGTTGCATTAGAATTTTCATTCTCATTGTAAATTTTTTCTAACTGCAAAACATTTGTTTGATATCAAGGAAACTCACATATAAGCACCAGTGATGAGTTTATTCTTTTAAGGCCTGAAACTATGATTGAGTAATTGGAGTATCATTTTAAGAAAAATCATATGCAGGGGCATGTCACCTGAAGACCTTAAGCACGGATATGTTGCTTCTCATAATTAATGCTTTCCCAACTTGTTTACTCTTTTGGGGCAAAATTTGAAGACTTTGTTGTGCCAACTACAGTCAATCCGGGGCAATCACGTCAAGATTCGATGAATCTCTCTAAGAGTTTGAAGACATCAGAGCACGGTGGATGCCAGGTCTTTTGTAAAATCCTCTTGAGACGATTTCTTCTCATCAACCCTATAGCTTGGGGCATTTTAGAAGTGAAGTTATTTGCAAGAATTATCGTGCAACATGCAGCTTATCAGCAGTAAACTTGGGGCATCCAAAATTAGTCCCAGGGGCAATCCAGATTTGTCAAGATATGTTTTTCACACATTATCAGAGGGTGGTGTTCCCAATATCTCCAGCTAAGCATGACTTTTTTCCAGCTGAAACAGTATTCGTGTTGTCATCCTTTCAAGGGATTGTTAGTGACAGAAGACTGAACTTTGGGCTTCCTACCGAAAAATATCTTCCTCTCCGAAGAGATTTAAGCCTTGTAAAAGGACTTTGCTCCAATGATGGCTTTTGTTTTCTATCCCCAGTAATGTTCCCATCCTGTTGAGATTAGCCGAGTGTCGAGCTGTACTATGACGTCTTGTCATCTTCAGTCTATCTCCCCTATCTGTTTTGTCAGCATATACATGACATTCATTTATTCATTCACACTTATTGAGTCAGTACACCTTGGTTATGTCTATTCAAATAACATATTTGATCTTTCCAAATAGAGTGTCAACTTAAGCAGAAAGTGCGCCTCTTTTTTTCTAATTCCCCACTGAGTTAACTCTCGTGGAAGAATCTTGCTTTAGCTTTCCTTTTCCATCTCTGGATAGGATAAATCCCCATTTGAGTTGTTTCCTCATTGGGTGGAGTCTTGTTTGACTATTTTCTCTCCAGTTTATTCCTGGATTGAGCTTTGTCTCTTGTGAACGATACCATGTGGATCTCTTTAGGCTGTGAAACCTAGATGGAGAGTGCATTTATTTTGCAATGTAAATACTTGGTCTCCTCAAGAAGGATTTACTCATGGTTCCCCATTGAAGATGAACTTTATTCCCCAGCAGTGTTATCACAACCTTCTTCTGGAATATCGACATGACAACAAGCGACTGACTCTTTATTTGAGCAGTTCGATTATTTCTGATTTCTCTACGACAAATGGCGGTCTCTTCATGAGCAGTTTGTCCATCCCTGACGAAATTATTGATCCCCGTCTCCAGCAATATCTTCATGATATTTTATGGGCACCTTTGGAAACATCAAGCGGCAGTCTCTTCATGGACAACTTGTATGTTATCAACACCTTCTCAAAACGACAAGTGGCGGTCTCTTCATGAGCAGCTTGTACGGAAAACGACAAGTGGCGGTCTCTTCATGAGCAGCTTGTACGGAAAATGACAAATGGCGGTCTCTTCATGAGCAGCTTGTCCATCCTCGATGAAATTATTGATCCTCACCTCCAGCAATATCTTCATGATATTTTATGGGTATCTTTGAGAAAACAGCAGGCGACAGTCTCTTCATGGACAACTTGTATGTTATCAACACTTTTAAAAACATCAAGCGGCGGTCTCTTCATGAGCAACTTGTATGTTATTGATACCTTTGAAAAACATCAAGCGGCAGTCTCTTCATGGACAACTTGTATGTTATCAACACTTTTTGAAAACGGCAAGTGGCGGTCTCTTCATGAGCAGCTTGTACGGAAAACGGCAAGTGGCAGCTTCTTCATGAGCAGCTTGTACGTTAGTATTTTTGGAAGACAGCAAGTGGCAGCTTCTTTATGAGCAGCTTGTGGGTTATTGGCAACAAGTGGCGGACTCTTCATGAGCAGCTTGTGTGCTTTAATATTCTTTGAAGACAACAAGTGGCGGTCTCTTCATGAGCAGCTTGTACGGAAAACGACAAGTGGCGGTCTCTTCATGAGCAGCTTGTACGGAAAACGGCAAGTGGCAGCTTCTTCATGAGCAGCTTGTACGTTAGTATTTTTGGAAGACAGCAAGTGGCAGCTTATCTATTTTAGCAACTTGTGTGTTATTGTTCCCTTGAAAACGGCAAGTGGCAGTTTCTTTATGAGCAGCTTGTGGGTTATTGGCAACAAGTGGCGGACTCTTCATGAACAGCTTGTATGCTTTAATTTTCTTTGAAGACAACAAGTGGCGGTCTCTTCATGAGCAGCTTGTATGTTATTGACACCTTTGAAAGGAAACAAGTGGCGGCCTCTTTATTTGAGCAGCTTGTGTATCCCCAACAATAATGTCTACTCAGCAAATGGCATCCCTTCAAAAAAGTCCCGTGGGGAAGTTTGTTATTTTATCCTTCTCAAGCGATATCTTGGTTAGAGAAGAAATGTGTTACCGTTCTTGGTAAAATTCAGAAATCAGAGATGTTTATATCCAGCCACAGTGCTGAGGTCAATCATATGCTTTTCCAGTCACAGTACTGTTGTAAATCATTACCTTTTCCAGTCCCAATACTGATGTAAATCATTCAAGAGTCTCTCATTTGAAGTCTATGACTTTGTTTCCCCAGTGGAGTTACAACCTCTTCCCCTGTGGGATTACTGTATAATGTGCTTGGTTTCTCCAGCATAGTCTGTCTCATATGGCGTCATTCCCCATGAAATTCAGAGCATTACATTCATATCATATCGTAAACATAATCGCGGTATCTTAAGGCCAAAAATTGTGTATTCTATATTTAAGTCCCTTCAATCTCGTCGAAATAAAGATTTCAATCTTCATATCTCCAGATAGAAGAAACTTAAATAGGGGCAGCTGTTGTACCCCAATTTTTGACCTAAGATCCCGTTTTTATTTTTGCATTTTTTAAGATAAGTCAAGGTCATGAAATACGGTCGGTTTTAACGTCTCACCTTCGAGCTTTGACTATGCGAAGATTGTCAAGTGTTTTGAACATTTTGAGCCTATGTATCACTAATTTCTAATCGCATACAAAAGTGTATGTTCACGTTTTCTTTTGTGTCATGTGCAGAGACAGGTCTGAATCAAGAGCATCAGGTGTCGCGCCTCAATTAAGGTTTTGAGCCTCCCAAGCCCGAAGTACGGTTGATTGTGGATTCTCGAAGACTGAGTCATCAAGGCACACCGTTGCACCCTTAATTTCGCCCCTAATTTTTTCATTCGCACATTCATACCATATTTTGTCATTTGGTCACGATCATTAGTAAATATCTTCATTCATCACATTTTGCATCATTAGTCGTATTTAAGTTGATCAGAAAAGTCAGTTTAAATCAAAGTTTGCATCGTCTTTCAATTGTAAAATACCCGGCATTTTGCTACATGCATTTTTATCTATTTACTCATCTGTTGCATTGCTCCAAGTTGTTTATATGTCAATAATAAAAATATTTTGGTTTCATAGACAAACTGTTAAAAGCGATTCGACACTGTGCGGAAAATTAGTGAGAAAAATCCCTCAAGTTTTCACCTTTTACCGATCATTTTATGAATCTGCGTTTCGCGTAGATTATGACGGTATGCTCACTTCATTTTTTTCGATACAATTTGAAGTCTCGTTTTTAACCGTAAACATCTGTTTTAGCCCGATATTTTTATTATCATTTTATTTTGATTTCGACTTCTTGAATATTTTTTATTTAATCTTTGTGACATGTAGTTTATTTTAATGTGTTCATATTAATTTTTCGGATAAATTTTCTTCCATTTTTTTATTGTTTTTAGTCATGTTGGGTCTTTATTTTTTATTCAGAAACGATTCAAAAAAATTATTTTAAATGGAGTTAATTTTAATATTTTTAGTCTTTTTGGTTATTTTTATCATTTAAGGGCTATTTGGTCACAAAAATATTATTTACACTATGCTTGATTTTCATTGGTTGTTGGATGAAATTGAGGATCGATACACACACAATACTCTATTCCTATTGGCTGTTGGATGAAATTGAGGATCGATACATAAAAACAAAACCAAAAAAAAAGCCAATATCACTATCCTGCAGAACATATACACGTTACTCCACTAAAGCTGCAAAAAAAAAGGAAAACCACTTTTTTTTTCAAATCATGTTTGTATCATAAACAGCAAGCTTGTAATAAAAAAAAAAAAAAACCCTTCACACTTTTTCTACTACAAAATTTCTCTTGCAAATATAAACCAAACGAAACCTGTCAATTTTTTCATTAACCATTCACATGAACTTCACTACCAATCTAATTACCTTCAAGATCTCATAATACAACCTGCAAAAACCACCCTTCAATTTCCCACACAACATATCAAATTTTATTCCAACCACATTTATTCACAACTTCAACCAAGATTGCTTCCTCATGAACCAATTCATAACCGTATCATCTTCAATCTCTTCTCACACAAACCTCGCAACTTCTACTTTCACACAGATAAAAAACCAAACACTTTAGTTTACAACGCACTCATCAAAGCCTGCATTCGTTGCCACTCATCAAACCAAGCACTACTACATTACATAAACATGCTCCAAAACGGTGTCTTACCATCAAGCTATTCATTCTCCTCTTTGATTAAGGCCTGCACCTTGTTAACAGATTCTGTAAACGGTAAAGCACTTCATGGACACGTGTGGAAAAACGGTTTCCATTCACACATGTTTGTTCAAACTACCCTGTTCCGCCAACCACCCTCACCGTAACCCTCTCTCTGTCTCAACACCACCATCAATCTTCGCGAAATGGCTCGGCATCCAGCTTCTTCACCATCATCATACCATCAACGCTACACACAACCACCGACCCTTCTTTCAATTATCCTGCAAGGAACACAACCTCCCTCTCTGTAACGCGAGCAACATCAAACTACCTTCAAATCAGTTCACATACCATCATCACCGTCCGCTTCATCTCTATCACAGTCGTTCAACGCTATTATCCGTCACCATCCAAACCCAAAACAAACTAGTTAAAACTAGATCAGAACCCGAAGCAATCAAATTCTCATACCCTTTCAAAATTGAAAAAAAAACAACAAACAAAAGAACAAAAAGCGAACCGGCGGCGATGGAAGAGTGGTCCGCTATCTGCGGGTGGTGCGGCAGAAATCATTTGCGTGGTGCTCACCGATGGTGCGCCGCTGCTTCGTCGCGAAGGTTGCACGGAGGACGCTTAATGGTGTAGGTACGCGGAGGATGCAAATGGTGGGTCTGGGCGTCTTTGCTGTTGACGGCAGGTGATTAAGATCTGTACGGAGATTGCTTCCGTTTTACCAGATTTGTCTCCTCTCTCTTGTGTCTTCACCCTGTTTTGATTTATGTGTTTGTAGATTTAGTGAAGCCATGATTTTCTGACAAGTTGCTGCATTTTGTGATTATGAATATAAATATGAAATTGGTTTCTGTATAATGATACGATGGAGATGAGTATAAGACCTTTTTTTTTAAAAAAATATAAAAAAATATTAGTAAGTCTTAGATTTAGTTTAGTATTTAATTTAGATTTTTTTTAATTAGTTTAATTTTATTTTAGTAACTTTAGAATATTATTTCATTTAGATTTAGAATTTTATTTGTTTTTAGTTTTAAATTAGTAACTTTAGAATGTTATTTGATTTAAGTTAACTTTAGAATTTTAGTTGTTAGTTTTAGTTTAGGGACTTTAGAATTTTATTTGATTTAGAATTGGTTTAATGAGTTTATAATTTTTATTTGATTTAGAATTAGTTTAATAAGTTTAGAATTTTAATTGTTTGGAATTAGTTTAATATTCTTCTAGAATTTTTTGATTTAGATTCAGTTTAGTAACTCTAGAATTTTTATTCGATTTAGATATAATTTAGTAACTTTAGAATTTCATTTGTTTTAGTTTTGACTTAGTAAACTTTAGAATTTTTTGTTTAGTTTTATTTTAGTAACTTTAAGATTTCATTTCATTTAGATTTGACTTAGTAAACTTTAGAATTAGATTTTATTTCATTAGATTTGACTTAGTAAACTTTTAGAATTTTATTTGATTTAGATTTAGTTTAGTAACTTTGGAACTTTCTTTGTTTTAGGTTAGCAACCTTAAAATTTTTACTCTAGTTTAGATCTAACTTAGTAATTTTAGAATTCTAATTTATTTTAGATTTAATTTATTAACTTTAGAATTTTAAGTTAGTAATTTTATAATTTTAATTTAGTTTTAGTTATTAACTTTAAAATCTTGTTTAGTTTAGTTAGAAACTTTAGAATTTAAGTTTAGTTCACTTAGTAACCTTAGAATTTCAAAATTAGTTTAGATAACCCTCTAATTATCTTTTCCTTTTATTCATGATTATTCTTTGTGCGTTTATTTAGTTTCTTATAGTTTATCTTGTCACTATTCTCCTTGTTTGTTTCTTTTGGATTTTTTTACTTATATATGATTCTTGCTCGATTACTAGACCTACTTGCTTATGATCAACTCCAAGGGAAAGAATTAAATTTGTTGACTTCATGTCAGCAAATATATCTAATACGATCAAGCGAACACCCTCATTCATTTTTTCCTATTTACTATTTTTTCCAAAATTAAAGTCGATTTTCCTAAAAGATTCAAATTTCAAACTCACACCTTTTAAGTCAAAACTTCGACACTAGGTCGTCATATCTTCAAAAATATCGTCCATACCCATCTTTAACCAAACAAACCATTTTAATCAAACAAACATTTTTTAACCAAAAAACAGATATTTCAAAAGGTTCCTGTGGAGTACCGCAGATGCATTGGGTGCTAATACCTTCCCATTGTATAACCAACCCCCGAACTCTCGATCTCTTTTCAAAACACATTGTATTTTCATTACTTTTAAGTATCATTATACATTGCATATTTTAGGGTTTTATTTCGCTCTTTTCCCTTTTCCTTTGGAAATAATAAAGCGCGGTGGCGACTCTTGCTTTTGCGAGTCGAGTTAATTAATAGCTCGATCTCCGATTTTCACCGCTACAATGTGCCCTCAATATCCAGGATCTGGAGGAAGTACCCTTGGAAAGAATTTGGATCTCACCATGATGTGACACGAACCCGCTATGGATTGCCCCAAGTATTCGAAGTTTGAAAAGTTTTGTTCTTGAAGTTGTTTAAGAGGGAACTTGGACCCTACATGCAGTAGGATGAACTTGATACGTATTATCCCAACATTCAAATCTTGGAAGGTTGCCCCTGATTATCAAGGCCTTGAGAAGTTTGTTAAAATGAGGAAACCGAGTCATACCCTGTTGCGGTATGACTTGATTAAGGAATGCTTCTTCGAAAGGCATGCCCCTCATTGGACGATGCTTTGAAACTTGATCCAAGTTGATTGAATCTCGGAATGGTCACCTCTTGTTAATAGTATCTTCATGCGATATACCCTTACGATCATTAGTCTTGCCTATGACCATATGGTTCCTCCTTAGATGCTTTTCCCCTAGTTAGAAGTATTTTGAAATGGATCTTTTGATTAAACCAATTCTTGAGATCTCCTTGATGCTAAGTTTTGATTCGTAGATAAAATTGTACATTTTGAAAAGTAATTCCACTTGATGCACATGCAAGTTTTGAAATCGAAGTTTGTTATGGAAATAGAAATGGATGATTATATATGGAGATTCGAAGAAGCGAAGTATTTAGAAATAATTTTATCAAACATAGGAGTCAGTTTAACATAAATTTTCCGAGTATGCTTTCATAGTTAACCTTGCTTCAATTAGGACTTTTGAAGGTTGTACCGCGGCCATGGTTCATGGTTTAAGAATCAAAGGATATAAAACTCAAAATTTATTTAGCTCACCCCATTCTCCTTGATGTTATCCAATCCTAATTTAAATTAATGCAACATGTGCGTTTAATCTCCAAGAGAAAATTCGAACTCACGTTGATGATGAAAAGTGTAGATAACGACCCAAGCACCGGTGAAAACCATTGATAAGATCCAAGCATTGATAAAATCCAAGCGTTGATGAGAAGCCTTTGAGGTGGCAGTCACAAGATTGTTCTCCAATTTATTTGTATTTTAATCCCTCGTTTTTGCATGGGCCGATTCCTTTGAATATGGTCCATCGGGATGCCCTAACTTTTGCCAAAGTCAAGTTTTTTTGATTGTTACTCGACTTAGCAGGCTTTTTTTTGAATACCTTTTTTTTTCTTTTGATTTTGAAAACTTGTGACTGCCTATGTTGATATTGTAAGCTTCATCTTTATCGTTTCCTCGATATTGAAGGATGTTCTGAGGAAGAAGATGTTGTGAACTTTGTCTTTATTGATTGCTTCCTCAATCTTTGTTGATGTGCAAGGTAAAGGAAGTGATTAAACCTTCACTTAGACTGTTTCTCAATTCTGGGTGATGTATTGAGGAAGAAGATATGCTTGAACTTTCACTTAGATGGCCTAATTCTCATGGGATTTGAATGCATCCTTGAATTAATTGAAATCTACCCTGCCCCTGGTTGAAATTATGGTTTTTTTAAAATTTATTTTAGAAAATAGAACAAAACTCCAACTACTGGCTCAAGGGGGTTGACTACAGTTTAAATCCTTATTTCTCCACTGTTTAGGAATTGAAACAATGCCATACATTGTCAGCTTGATCTTACCATTGAAAGCACATGTCAGCGCAATTTAGCTAATTAGTTTTCATCATTCTCCCTCGAAGTTTGTTTAAGTTGTGCAGTGGTAATAGAAAAAGAGTTAAAATTGAAAGTGATAGAGGAGTGAATACGAATGGATTGATTTCAAAACATGCATGATCATTTTATTAGTATTACTAACCAAAAGATACAAATTTACACCAAATACAACTTAGCAACTTGGAAATTACAAATTGAAATTGATAAAGTCTAATGACCCTAGAGATGAACCTTTTTTTGTTGATCCACTAACTTTAGGAGATGCTTTATAGTTCCTGGACTTGTCAGAGCATGGGGGTGACCCTAGACTATTCTTGGGCATACCCATTCTATTGATAGGGAAATTGTTCTTGATGTAGAGGAATCACCAGTAGTAGTGGTATTTGAGGAACTGTGCAGGTCTGTAGTTGTCATGATGAAGGGCTGCCTTCTGTCTCCAATACGACTTTTAGGACCAAGCTCCATTGAGTCTCCAATAGATAATCTCCTTCTTCCACATTTTCATACTTAAGTTCATTTGCGAGTACCAAGAAATCAACTAGCATATGGATGGTAGTTGGATAAGGGTGAAGGTGGAAATGCATGAAATGAAAATGTATGAATGTATGTAAATGCATGGGTATGCAAAAATATTTTGTTTTTAAAGGTATGCTAAAAATTTCATGGAGATGCAATGTGATGTGGACGTAGTATGAAGGTAAACACGAGGGTACCCTTTTATGGGTTTAATGATAGACATGGGAATGAGGATACCCTATACTAACTCAGAGATTGAGACATGCAAGAAAAATGAAGAGGAATCTCTACAAGCTTGGGATTATAACAGAGGGACGAGAATTCCTACAGGCTAGGAATTGTGATAGACCAACAGACGATTGAGATGGAGGTTGGACGTGAGGGAATAACGTGGAAGAGAGAACACGGTGACCGGTCAACAGTCACAAAATCCCATGGCCTGATATAGGCCCCATGGCGTGCATTAGCGAGGATGTCTTTCATGGGAAAGTTTCATATAAAGGTCAAGATCCTAAGTGTAATACGGTGGGAGAACTGACTTTATTTTGCATTTTATCACAAATGCACGGATAGAAAAAGTCGCCGCCGAATTTTCTTTTATTCAATAAGGAAAGGTGAAAAGAACAGGAAATACCTTTGAGCTCACTTTGAAAATGATTTTTGTATGTGTTTGAAAATATTTTGAAAAAATGCCTAAGTATGGAAACTTTGTAATGATTCTTGTATCAGTTAAGAATGCGTACAAAGTGTTTTTTTTAAAAAATATTTCAGAAAAGTGTTTTGTATGAAAAATATTGGTTTTATTTGTGAGAAAGTGATTACGAGCTATCTACCTACTCAAAAGTCTTTCGTGTTATTTTCCTCCTCCTTAGATAGTGCTATCCTACCATTAGTTAGTAGGAAGCCCTATCATTAGATGTGTGAGGGAAATGCGAGGGTCATCATACAGTCATAAAGGCAACTCATAAGGGTGCTTTAGAAATTTATCGTAAGGGACTAAGATTGTTTATCGAAGGAAGCATCGTAAGGGTCATC